AAATAAAAGCACTGCATTGCTTTCTATTCCAAAGCAATTGACTTCCACAGTCACATAAAATTAGATCGGGCAATGTACGAAAACAAACTAGTAATTCATTATATGGACATTATTCAGCAATATATTTGAAGATGCGTTAGGCTCCACTTCTATGTCTGTTCGCTCATTGCAGCTTCATGCAACTCCAGCAACCCAACAAACATGACTTGGCCAGTCAATTTTCCTCATCATCAAGAGAACTATTTCAATGTATTTATACCACATTCTAGTTATCAGTGCGAGTATAATTTGACTTGATTGTGTACTCTGCTGCCTACTGCACACAGGACAATGACTTGTCATCAAGCAGTCTCTTACAAGAATCGTAGTCTTCCAGAATCCCAGAACAGCAGATTGTGTGAGAGCATTTTCTTTTACTTTAAAGATAAACAAATGATCAATGCAGAAATGCAATGGCAATAGCGAGGAGAAATTTTTGTGAGCTACTAATCCGAATGCAAAAGAAACCATGAAGCCGCTAAAAGAGGAAGTGATCAGATGTGCACGATAATGATGACAGTACTTTCGGCACGGTTGTCGACAGTTATAATTTTTGCTTTGGCCAGTAAAAGAAGTTCCTTTGCAGAGAACCTCAGATTTGCTGTCACGTTTGCAAACATTGTTCACAAAACTTTGAGACAATCTGTTTCAAGACCAATTGGTAAAGGATATCGCAAATAATATATTTCTGAACCTAAAGTAGACAATCAGCAAATCATGATCACTGTACTTGGTAGAAGCGGAAGGATACTTAGGAAGTAATGGTTGTCGCCTCCATTTATGTATTATAATCTTGAGTCTAAGCAAGAACTGGTTTAGTTTCCTGAGATCAGAACATCAATTAAGCAAGGATCGATATGCCCCAAAAAAGGTAACATCCCTATGGCTCAACCCAAATGGGTCACAGACCCTCAAAGGAATCACTCCATGGGCAAGCTTTGTGCGTGAGTCTTTGTTTACTCAATCATAACGACAGAGAATTAAACGAAAGCAGAGGAATGACAAGGCTCCACTCGGTAATCAAGCAAAAGGAGAAAAATAAATCGAGTTTTTTTTTATTTTGAGTGATGCAAAATGCAAGAAAAGGAGGACAAAAGTCAAGAAGAAGGATCAATGCTCTGGATTCCCACTAATCATTGTGAATGTGCTCAATGGCTTGTCTTGAGGTATTCAACCGGCAAATTGGTCCTCCCAGAGGTTTAAGAAGCCAAGGTGACGCAGAACGGCTGCTGAGGACTTTCTGAACGTTCGGATAAGCAAAAAATTAAATAGTTGGCCCGAAACACAAACTCGTGCAACCATTGATAATAGGCCATAACTTTTGATCCAAGATAAGTTACGGGGCCATCTTACCAAATCAGGAGTGCCATGTTGCACCAAGACTGAGGAACACATCTATCATTTCGGCCCACAAAATTCATCGTATTCATGAGGTTCAGGGCACTTTTCTATTTTTAGGTCTATTTGATGCATTGATTCGGCCCATTTACTTATTTTCGGAATTTCTCTGCTGCTTAGAATTATTTTTTTTGTGTCACTTAGGATTTTAAGGAATGATCTTTGCAAATTGTCATATAGCCTTCATGATAATACAATACTGTTTATTCTTCATATAATTATCCAAAAAGTCCTAAACATATTATACGGCAGCTATTTCCTCTTAAACCTTATAATTGTGTCAATTTAGTCATAAACATTTTGATAATTTGCCAATGTAGTCCTTTTGACTAATTTTGACCGGAAATTACTGACGTGGACGCCGACCATCCTATGTGGAATGGCCAGCTTAGGATGACCGGTGCTGACGTTAACAATTTTGCAAAATTTTTAAATTTTTTTGAATTATTTTTTTTGTTTCTTTTCTTTTCTTTTTCCCACTGTTAAGGGCTGGCGAGGGCCACCAAGCACTAGCGACCCCCGCCGCCACTGGGTGAGGGTCGACAAGCCCTCGTCAACCACGAGCGAGGGTTGCAGCCCTCGCCTGTGGCTGGCGGAAGGAAATAGGAAAAAAGAAAAAGGAAGAAAGAAAAGGAAAAAAGGAAAAGAATTCACAAAATTTTCAAAAATTGCAAAAATATTAACGTCAACACATTTTGTACCACGTAAACCAACCGCCATCTATTTCAGCGATTTCTCAACAAAATTGGTCAGAAGGACTATATTGACAAAACGTCAAAAGATTTATAACTAAATTGGTACAATTGAAAAGTTCATAACCGAATTGGCCACTGCAAAATAGATTAAGGACCTTTTGGACAATTTTCTTGTCTAATATAACAGACAAATGGACCGGACCCAACCTCAATCCAATGAACAGAAGCGTGCGACTTGGTCATTATGAATCAGAAATTAGATAGATTTAGAGGATTAAAACATAGACTAAGATAGAGCTAGTCCTGATTAAAAAGATGGAATTAGCCATGTTCTCAATTATTGCTTGAAATTTCTGGCCCTGGACGGTCAATAATGAGCCAACACATTCATTGATGAATCTGTAGGCACAATATACGATAGAAAAGGTCAAAGATTGTTAGCGCAATGCGTCACCAAGCTAAACTAGATCGCAGATTCCATTGGCCATTCGAATGTTGCTTGAGACTGCCTTCTTTGAATAAATCGAATTAAATTACATTATCCCCTCGAAATTCTTCAAATTTTAAAATTGAACTGAGTCCAGCTCCATCATGCCATGTGATCTAATGTGAGGAAATTTGGCTGAATGTTTAAAATGTACCATTTGTTAAGATATTTTGCTGTCTATTTTAGAGCAGGGAAGGAGACATGTCAACGAATTCAATTTGAGTTTAGTAAGATGCAGCATGTTCATGTTGTCAAGCCATAGGCCCGCCTGCTTGGTCAACCTTATCTCAAGAACTAGATAACTTATGTAATCAAACATTGCATCCTCGAGTCTCAGTTATTTATTAAATATATTTAAGTAATGATAATAAAGTTGTATATTAGAGATGCTTATGCAATAAAAGGTTTTCAGTTTATTGGTTTTTAGAGTGATTAAGAATAAGTAACATGCTAATACTAACTCACAAGATATAATTATATAAAGGGAATTGGTTCTTTTTGTTTTTGTTAACTCGTTATGTCCCGTGCGTGAAACCGAACTCATTCTTGTTATAACGTAGAAATGAAAGTCCATTTAGACTTCACAAGCTAAACAAAAATAGAAGGGTAAATAAGGCGGGCCTGAAATAACTTTTACATTTCACTTTTTACTTTGGTCAAATATTGCGGCGCGTGCACTTTGACTTTGTTCCAACTCAAGCACTTGAAGCTTACATAGTATAAATACTGACTCATAGATTTACCGATAATTTTTCTGTAATTTTTTCGATTTGAATATATTTTAATTATTAGCAAGAAAAGTGAAAAAAAAATTACTTTTTATTTTTTTCCATATGTAAACAAATAGACCCTCAAAGTGAATAACAAAGTTCATACTGTATCCCAACTAATATATAGTGGTTTAGCCGGGGCAAAAACAAGAAATTGATTAAACCGGTCATCAACAAAGTTATTGCTTGAGTTTCTTACGATTCGGAGGTGTTTGAATCATTGCGTATTTGCATCTAGCCCTGTGTTTATTAGTATTTAGTGACTTAATGGCGTGACGACATACATGACACTAATTGAGGAAAAATCTTGTCTTGGGATCCTCTATGCTTGAGGCTTCTGTGACCCTTGTTGAGGGATTGATCCGCTGTCATATTCAAATGCAATTTGTCGTAACGAGAGTGGGGACGAGGTGGGGGAATAGTTGTTTCAAATTTAAATGCGTTAACTCACAATAGATACCTAAGAATAATACGCTTTTCGCTTAAGGAATGATTTTTGGTATATGAGTTTCGATCCGGAAAGAATTATTTAAAAAACTAAATTTAACCCTCCACTTTAGCAAGAAGTATTTGACCAGGGCTGAATCTTGTTTTTGAATTTCCTCGGGCATATAGATGTCCAGTCTGTAACTTCAGAGAGGGAAATAGAGAGCGATGCACTGAGATAACTTTGTCTGCATGAGGACTTCAATTAACCAATGGCTGCTCCATCCATGGAGGATTATCAATGAGAGTTGCCCAATAAGATGAGTTTGCGTACAAGGGAAGAACTCAACTAGAACCACCCGTTCAATTTCAAATGACATATATCATTATATGGATCCAAGTGAGGAACAGTGAAAACAGTGACACAAGTGAACCATCTCTTTTGACAGTCTACAACACATTCCCTCCACCTGTTGTCTGTGATTTTGGACAAGACTAATTGGGCCCAGATTCTGAAGGTTCTTTGTTTATCAAATGAAAAGGAAAAATTTATTAAAAATGAAAAAACGATGATAGGTTCAAGTCCGAAAATATCGAGGGTTCTTGTCATAAACGAGTCGAGCTCGAAGAAGGAAATGCATGAGCATAGTTGCACTATTTAGAAGACCCTCCAAGAAATCAGCAGGGTCCACAGTTCTTAGCACTTACTGTTCGAGAACAAGGAGTTTCTTTCTGCTCTCCGCTGATTCTTCTGCAAAGCTCCTTACATGGGTATTGGTAAGATGACTGATTTTGAAGCGCGCCCAGAGATTCGCATCCATGAATTAATAGATGAAAGCTATAATCGTGTATGAATAAAACGCAATCTGCGAATGGGTGAAAGAGGATCAAGTAATTCGAGAAATTTGACTTTAATACCATCATGAACCGAGAGCGGTTGATGTGTCTAAATATATCAACCGATGACAAAAGACGCATAAACAAGAAGAAAGGATATAAACTAAGAGGTCAAAGGAAGATAGTAAATACCAAACTTACTGTTACGTGGAATCCATGCCCAACATAAGCACAACATGATACTGCCGTGAAATCGTTGTTAATTATCCAAGTGTCCATAAAACCTAACATAAGTCCTAATGAAGCGTGGAAAATATTTTATAATCAAATTCTGCATGACATGGATAGTTTTACTTGTCGCCAGTAACAATCTGCATGTATCAGTAACACAAAGATTACAGAGTCTGCACAGCCAAGATCAATACATAAAGATAGGGCGTGCACGGAAACACTAGAACTAAGGGAAACAGAGTCCCCAGGATCAGTAAATTCGAGTTCTCTCGCAGGGTAGGTAAGGCACAATGGCACACCTTCCACTCCACACCACCGTGAGGAAACTCTCAATACCAGAGCGTTAATTCACATATCTGCCCAACCCAGCTCTAATCACGGGCTTTCATGTTACATTACTATTTACTAATCCACCGTCTTTTCTTTTCCATTCAAAGGCAAAGGTCCCCTAAATCAAGGACGACCAAACCCCTAAAAAACACTGAAAAAGAACATGAACCCAGGACGCCAAGCCCATGCCCACCTTTTCCCTATCTGAGATTCGGTTTCGGCGACCGAAACTCTTCCCTGTGGCCAAAGCAGAGCGACACGAACTCCTCTTCCCCGCAAGGTATCGTCAAGCCCGTCTCGTGGTGGAACCCGAACTGCTCCTCGGCTTGCTGGAGCAGGCTCTGGAAGTCGGGTCGGGCCAAGAAATCGATGGGGACGACGTGACGGCTCCTGCGCTCCCCGACGTACACGACGAAGTGGCCCTTGGGCACGTCCAGAGGAAGGCCTTCTTGATCGCACGCGTGCTTGTTCTTGCCGAAGCTCGAACACCTCCTCACGATCTGCTTGATAACTGCCGTCTGCGAAAGCTTGCCTGATTTTCCGAGCGCCATTCTTCTTCTCCTTTGCTTTGGTCTATCTGCGGGAGTATGATGCGAGAGCGTGGGAAAACAGAGATCAGAAGGGGGTGCGTGAATTGCAGAGGAATGGGCTTGTCGGGGTTTATATGGTGGGGACAAGCGAGAGACACAGTAGGAGTATAGAGTGTAATTTTCTTTGAAAGAAAAATCTCGTGGAAAATTTCAAATGAGGACATGAAAATTTCAAATAAGGACATGAAGCGCTTTTATTTTCTCAAATAAGAACTTAAAGTGAATTTTGTATCAAATAAGGATCCAAAGTGATATGTCAATCTCAAATAAAGACCTGAAGTTATCATGAGAGTTTCAGCTACGGACCTGGCCTCGTTGGTCACCGACCGGCGAAATATTCCGACCGACGAGGTCAAGGACATTTTCGTCCAAATTTTTTTAATTTTTTTTTTCCTTTCCTTTTTTTTTTTCCTTTTCTTTCCTTTTTTCCTTTTTTCTGGTTTCCCCTGTTGGCTTACCGATGGCAAGCGAGGCTGTCCCTCGCCAGTAGCAAGCGAGGCGACCCTTGCCCAGATCTTATGAAGGCCAGCCTCGCCCATGGCCGGCGAGGGTTGGCCCTGCCCAGGGCAAGGCCGTTCCTTGCCTGTTGCAGGCAAGGGCGGCCCTTGCCAAATGGGGCGACAATGACCCTCGCCTAGGCCTCGCCGGGCTTCGCTGATGGCCGGCTGGGTGGTCACCGGGGAAGAAGGGAAAACCAGAAAAAAAAAAAAGGAAAAAAAGAAAGAAAAAAAGGAAAAAATTCAAAAAAGTTAAAAGACGAAAATGCCCTCAGAACAAGAAAAGTTAGGCCCTTTTTTGAAATAGATATGGCCATTTCAAGTTCTTATTTGACACAAAATTCACTTCATGCCCTTATTTGAGACTAACATACAACTTTAGGTCCTTATTTGACACAAAATTCACTTCAGACCCTTATTTGAGAAAATGATGGCACTTCATGCCCTTATTTGGAATTTTCCCAAATCTCATACTCCTTACTCTATTTAGGCTACTTAACCCAATTCAAGATTTGCCCTTTCGTAATTCTATTTCCTTGACAAACAGCTATGGCCTATGTACTCTCAATAGTGCGCGTCCGAAAGCAAATACTCATCATGATTTAGTCCGAAAGCGAATACTTATCACCACGATTCAAACATATTGTCTGGTTGGCTTAACTAAAATATATCGTTAGTTGAGAAGGTGTCTATAGATGAAATGTAATGACTGGTTAATGCGCGGAGATTCTCGATCCTCTTCTTATTGCTTATGGAGGACAAATAAATGCGAAACCTTTGCATTCCTCACGCAACAGTAAATGAATTGGCCATGATCTTACGTTAGCGATTGATTCTGGTTGTTTTATGCCAATCATGTTCGAACGACATTCGAGATATTGCAAAGGAAGAGAGAGAGAGAGAGGAAAAGATTGTGTTTAGAGGCGAAGAAGCGACCAGGGGCTGTTTTCTGGGTAGGCCCATCGGGTTAGGATCCACATGTTGCCCTTCCAAAGGACAACCTGGTCCCTCTCGTATGTGCTTGGTCTCTCAAGTCAAGCTTTCTTTTGTCTCTACTATCGTCTCACGTTTGTTTTTTAATTTTTTTTGCCCAAATATTAGGTAGTCACGGGTTGAGAAGCATCCCCAAAAATGTACTTCGAATTGAACAAATGATTTTGAATAAGAGCTGGCTTTTTTTTTTTTCATTCGAACCGGCCGGCACGAATGATCTATTGCGGGATATAAAAGAAAACGTTGGATATGTATTTGTACTTTGCACGTCTTTCATCGAGAATTTCCGGCCATTATTGACGAGGTAATTTAATTAGTAAATGCATTCGTAACTCGAGTATAATAAATAATATGGTAATTATCTTAGTAGGTTGTTATTTAGATAAGCAAATAAAACAATTCGCTTATTTAGTCCCTATCAAAAAGTTTTTTGAATTTAAGTTTCCACTTTTTGTTTTACTTGCGTCCGGGTGAATTGTTACATACCTTCTGATAATTAATATTGGTCTAGAAAAATTTGAAAATGTTCCTTTTTTGGGTTTTTTTTTTTTTTTGTTTCTATACATATACATTGACCAATTCCTTATCATCAGCTTTTTCTTCTTTCGTATTCTGGTAGCGCGTGCACTTATGGTACAGATACAGCAAAGAAAATATAGAATATATTCATTCATAAGAGGCCGTTTGGTTATGTTTACATAAACGGCTTTATTTGAATTTTGAAAGAAAAAAAAATAACAAAAAGGGAAAATGACACAAATGATTCTTGAACTTTGGCTCAATGTACAAAGTGGTCCTAAACTTTTAAATTTTCCAATATAGTCCCTGAACTTTAGCCCAATAGACAATGTCGTCCATAAACTTTCAATTTGTTAAATGTGGTCCTTAAACTTTTGATACATGTTCAATATAGTCACATGTTCAATGCTATCTCTGAAGTTGAATTAATAGAACGATGACATTGGATATGTTCATATAGTCCGGAGACTAACTTGAATATGTACCAAAAGTTCGGGGATCATATTAAATAAATTAAAAGTATAGGGACGACATTGCACGGGAAAATTGTCAAAAAAGTCCTAAACTTATTGCACTTTTTCTAATTCAGTCTTAAGTCTTTTAAGTTTGCCAATTGAGTCATAAACCTTTTTACTTCTTGCCAATTTAGTCCATCCGGCCAATTTTGGCCACCCGGAGCTGACTTGGAGTCTAGCCGGCACTGGCCATCGGGGCAATGCTGATGTGGCAATTTTTTTTAATATTTTAATGCTTTTTTCGAATTTTTTAATTTTTTTCCTTTTTTCTTTTTTTTTTATGGTCTTCCCTCTAGCCAGTCGCCGGACCAGCCAGAGGCGAGGGCTGGCAAGGTCGACCTCACCTGCCTCTGGCGAAGCTCGACCTCGCCGGCCACTAGCGAGGGCGAGCCTTGCTGGCCCCTAGCTAGGCGAGGTCGGCCTCGCCGTCACCTGGGTCGGCCTTGTCGTCACTAGGCAAGGCCAAGGGCCAACGAGGCTCGACCTTGCCCAGATCTGGCAAGGTTGGGCAAGGTTCACTCAGCTAGGGACCGACAAGGGCCAGTGGCCAACGGGGGCGGGCTTCACCAGAGGCCAGCGAGGTCGACTTCATTGACCCCTGGCTAGGCGAACCTCACCCAACAACGGCAAAGCCGACCTCACCCAGCCTCGCCGGCCCCTGGCCTCCCCAACAACGGCGAGGGAGACCCATGCGATGGCGAGGTTGGCCCCGCCCAACCATGGGGAGGCCGACCTCGCCGTCGCTAGGCGAGCCTGACCCAAGCGATGGCGATGTTGGCCTCGCCCAGGCAAGGTCGAGCCTCACCCAGCCAAAGCAAGGCCGATCTTGCCCAGCCAGGGGCCGGCGAGGCTCGCCCTTGCCAGTGGCCGGCGGGTAAAATCTTTGTGTCAAATACTATTTGGATGGTTGCAGATAAAATCTATTCTTTCGAAAATAAAGAACAACTTAATTTATAATTTTAAAAGTAGAAGATCACTGTTTTCATAATAAATTAGTGTTTTCGTTCATCTCACGATTTCACTCCTTCCGTGAGTTTTCTCTTTCTTTATCTTGTCCTTTAATTATATATAAAATGAATAATGTATTGACTACGCATTGCACTTCTAATATTTAGATGTTATTATTCTCATCTCTAAGGTTCATGATTTTTTTTTCCCAAATTATAAGCCATATTGAGGACAACAAATAATTTAAATTCATTATTTTAGATTAGATTAATATTGTTATCACCGGCAATTAAGTGAAAATAGTGTCAATACTCCTGGGCGAAGCAATGAGCACTCGGATTCTACGGTCCCGAGGTGTGCCATGAGTATTATAGTTTACCAATGAAAAGTATCATGTAACAAGAAAAGATCAAGAATGAAGTATGATCAATAGTTAGGTATAACCAACGTTGTTTAACGAAAGCGATGTTGAATAAAAACTTATCATTCGGCGGTATCAAACATTGATTTTATTTAAAAAGGGTCAAAATAGTCTAAATACAAACTATATGTTTTTATTATCCATCAATATAACTAAAGTAAATGTAATCAAACGGCCTTTTAAAGTTTGTAGAAGTATACGTGAGCAATGACGTGATCTCATGTCACTCTAGATGGTGTTTTGTATCTCTTTAGAAAGAAAACCACATATCTTTTTCCCCTCGGTGTGAACACGTTCGACTTGATTAGCGACTTCTAACGTGCATATGAAAAATTACCTCAGTTTCGATTTTGGTCTAACTGAGGAAATCGTCTTCTACCTTCACGATGTTGGTTCCCCGTCAATGTTGATCCGATCATCGTACGATTGTCTCTTCTTAAGCTTATGATACATTGGATTCAAGTGTCCGATTTGACGTACTCTTGTTATCGAAGTAGGCTCCAACCTAGGCTGGACATGCTTAACCACTGAAGAAAGAAGTTACATAGCCATGTGCAACCCAGTACTCCGCAGATATAATGCATGACACGAGCACGTTCAGCGGTAGCAAAATAATTCATGTTCATCGAGAGGACAATCGCCCTGCGGATTGGTTTGCCAATGTGGGAGTTTTAACTATTGATGCTTACTTTATTTACATGCATCAATCGGTTAAAACGTGATTGAGATTTGACACGCTAATGGGAACACCGTATCCTTTTAAATTGAGCCCCAAGAGGGTCCACTGCTTTTGGTTTTTCAAGTTGTTGGATGAATTAAGATGGGATTTTTCCATTAATGTGTCTTTTCCCTTGACGACAATAGTAGGCTGCAGGCGACCAATAGTCAAAACATCTCCTATAACGCCTGTTCCAACATCTGCTGATGCGGATTGGATGTAGATATTATTAGGCCATCTTGATTGCTAGTGTGCAAAGGAGCGTCAAGGTGGGCTACATTCAATTCAACCGTCCCTATATGCACACAATTGTTGCTATACTTTTGTTTCTGTTGATTGATTTTCTTGCCGTATTAGTAAGTAGTAACGCATTTGGCTTCTCCTATGTTTAAATCCATCTAAGTAACAGAATTCTACTCATCGCGCAAGAAGAAAGGCTCTTCTCTTTTCCATTACCACCATCGCAGTTGCATTGCAAACCGATGGCGATG